AGACCTCGGGTTCTTTTTAATGTTTTTAACTCTGTTGTGAATCCTTGTGATGCTGGTCATGTTGCTGAATCTCCTGCACTGTGTGAACAGTTTTCTAAGTTTTTTATAGATAAAATCTCTGCTCTGAGACCCTCCTCAACACAACTTTACACAGACCCCTCCTCACTTCCTCCATCCGCAGCCTCCTTTGAACAGTTTGAGCCGGTGACTTTAGTTGTTTTAAAGGACATCGTGGACCACATGCAGCCTTCTAATTCACCTCTGGACTGTGTTCCTTCTCACCTGTTTAAAGAAATTTTTAACACTCTTGGTCCATTAGTTCTTGTCCTAATTAACATGTCCCTCTCATCAGGCTGTGTTCCAGCTACTTTTAAACATGCTGTGGTGCAGTCACTCATAAAGAAGAAAAACCTCGACCTAAATAACTCGTAAATTATAGACCTATTTCTAAACTACCTTTTCTGTTGAAAATTTTGGAGAAAGTTGTTTTTAATCAACTTAAGAGGTTTTTAACTGCCAACAGCATTGGTGAAAAATTCCAGTCAGGTTTTAAATCAGGCCATAGCTCAGAGACAGCCCTTTTAAGAGTTTTTAATGACCTTCTTTTAACTGTTGATGCAGGAAGCTCTGCTGTTTTAGTGCTTTTAGACCTTTCTGCTACCTTTGATACTGTGGACCACAACATCTTGGTGTCACGACTGGAATCAAAGGCACAGTTTTATCCTGGTTTAGATCCTACCTGACTAACAGGAGTTTTTCTGTTCATTTAGGGAAATGTTCTTCATCTCCAGCTCCTCTGATCTGTGGGGTCCCTCAAGGGTCTATTTTAGGTCCATTGCTTTTTAATCTTTACATGTTGCCTTTGGGATCCATTTTTAGAAAACACAACATCCCTTGTCACTGCTTTGCTGATGATATTCAGTTATATTTCATACTCTCAGTCACCTTAACTACCTCACTAATATCCATGATGTGCAATACAATTGTGTAATACTTGTATTTTTTACTTTCATTATTATATCTATATTGCGTTACATTTTTTATATTTTTAGTGTGTGTTTAGTGTTTAGTGTGTGTTTTCTTAAGGCGTGTTTTTGCACTGGAAAAAGGAGTGGCTCTTAATTTCATTGTACTGTGTATAATGACAATAAAGGCATTCTGATTCTGATTCTGATTATATCTTCCGATTGAGTCAGACAGGGTCACTTCACTGGATCCACTCTTGAACTGTCTAAACGACGTTAAAGTCTGGTTAAAACTAAAATTTTCTGAACCTAAATAAAATAAAACAGAAATCATCAGCTTTGGTAAATGTAATACCCTTAATGTGCTTGGCCCCTTGGCTTCATACAGCCACTCCAATGTCAGGAATCTGGGAGTTATCTTTGATCGTGCTTTTAAATTAGACAAACAGATAAATACAGTTGTGAAATCCAGTTTCTTCCAGCTAAGACATTTTGCCAAGGTGAAGTCTTGTCTCCCTTTCAGAGACCTTGAAAAGGTGTTTCACACATTTATTAGCTCTTGTTTGGACTACTGTAATTCATTGTATGTTGGTTTAGACAAATCATCTTTGCATCGTTTACAATCTGTCCAGAACGCAGCAGCTCGTCTTTTAACAGCAACTAAAAAACATGAACGCATAACCCCTGTCCTGGCTTCTCTCCACTAGCTTCCTGTCCACTTCCGGATTGATTTTAAGATTTTATTGCTTGTTTTTAAAGTCTTAAAAGGTCTGGCCCCGTCATATTTATGTGATCTCATTAACATTTACACTCCAGTAAGAGCACTCCGGTCTACCAACCAGTTCCTCTTAGATGTCCCCAGATCCAAACTGAAATCCAGAGGTGATCGGGCTTTTGCGGTTGCTGCTCCAAAACTGTGGAACAGTTTACCTGAGAATTTAAAGACCGCTCAGACTGTTGAGACTTTTAAATCTTTGCTCAAGATTCATCTGTATTCCTTGGCATTTCATCCACGCAGAGACTGAGAACAAGTTGAGCTGATTTTATTGTTGTTGTGTGTTGTTTTACTGTCAACTTATGTTTTTGAGTGGCACTAGATGCATTTTTACTCTTTTTTCATTTTTAATCTGTCTTAACTGTAAAGCACTTTGGTCAGCTTTTGTTGTTTTTATGTGCTATATAAATAAATTGACATTGACATTGACCTACCTTGCACGTTGAATCAAAATGTCCGCTTCACCTCCCTTACACATTGAATCGAAATGTGGCCGCTTCACCTATCTTGCACATTGAATCGAAATGGCCGCTTCACCTACCTTGCATGTTGAATCGAAATGGCCGCTTCACCTACCTTGCACATTGAGTCGAAATGGCCGCTTCACCTACCTTGCATGTTGAACCAAAATGGCTTAGTGTTATTCAGTTTCAATGAAAGGTTTTCTCCCATTCATTTCCTATTGGAAATTTGGCATCTTTGTTAGCAAACTACATCGTCATGGTAACTCCAACTGCCAATGCACTGCTCTCCCATGCATTGCAATGGCAGCCCCCAATAAAACAGTGCAGAGTAAATTCAGTCCGTACTAAAAGCCAGGGGGTAAAAATGTGTTTTTAAAAGAGATTTAAAACTGGACAGTGAAGGGGAACATCTGATGGGAATAGGGAGATCTTTCCACAGTCTTGGAGTGGCAACAGAAAAAGTTCTGTCCCCTCTGAGCCTCCGTTTGGACCTCAGCACCCCTAGGAGCAGCTAATCAGCTGATCTGAGGCACCGAGCAGGAGAGCGCAGGTGAAGCAGCTCAGAGAGGTAGGATGTGACAAGACCATTAAAACATTTGAAAAACAAATCAAATAATCTTAAACGGAACTCTAAAATGAACCTGCAGCCAGTGGAGTAAATGGTAAATGGACTGTACTTATATAACGCCTTTCTATCTTATTTCAAGATACGCAAAGCGCTTTACCTACAATCTGTGCCCTCATTTAACCAAGCACACTGCACTCTACTAGATCTCTACAAAGCTAATTGAACAAATATTCTAAAGAGGAGTGAGTGAAGTGAAGCCAGGGCGAGGGTGATGTGCTCCCTCTTATGAACTCCAGTTATAGGCCGAGCAGCAGCGTTCTGGACCAACTGGAGGCGTCTGAGGGAGGACTGGCTGACTCCAACGTAAAGGGCATTACAGTAATCCAGCCAAGAGGCGACGAAGGCATGGATTACTGTTTCTAGCTGCTGCCGTGTCAGGATAGACTTTACCTTAGCCAGCTGTCTGAGGTGATAAAAACTGGTCTTGACCACTGCTCCAATCTGGGAATCTAATTTAAAATCACTGTCCATTTTAAAACCCATGTTAGAAACAATTCTCTTTAGTTGCTGTGCAGAGGGCCTGTGAATGCTTATTGCAGAAGAACTTGCTGGAAAACAGCTGAAATTAGCCACAAAAAACAAACAAAAAAAAGCATTGCTGTAATGTAGCTGCTGACATGGTTCTGTTTTTGTTTTCCTACACCTCTGTTCCCCATGTCATCATCCACAGCTGATCCTTATTCTAAATCACCCCAGGTGCTCCTCATTGTCTCATTAGTGTCAGTATTTAGACTGTATGTTTTCACTCCTTTGGTATCTGGGCTTTATCCTTCCACGGTGTTATGGTCTGTGTTGTATTCTATTCAAAGTAAGTTTTGCTGCCCCGTCAGCATTTTGTTTTGTTCAATAAATTATTAGTTATTGTTCACTATCAAGTCCTCCTGTTTTTCCTGCACGTGGGTTCAAACCATTAAACTGCAGAACATCAATCAATCAACCTTTATTTTATACAGGTAAATGACAGCTGCAATGGAAGAACAAGTCTAAATGAGTAGCAGAAAGCAGAAAGAACACATATTTGCTGAATTAGTTTGAAAGAAGCAGAAATTAGCATAAAAGTTAGGAAATTATCTAAAAAAAAAAGAGGCTGAAATTGGGGAAAAATGACTGAAAAGTAGCTGAATGGCAGAAAGAAGCTTCATTTACCAGAAGGAAGCAGAAAAAGCTGAAATAAGGTAAAAAAAAATGGAATTAGCTGAAAGAGCTACATTTAGCATAAAAACAGCGATATAGTAGCTGAAATAGCAGAAATAGTTTAAACTAGCAGAAATGATATATATACATTATATATATATAT